TGCTTGCTTAGAGTATTGGTCTTAATGCCATAGAAAACAAGATGTTGCGACGCGTTTCGTTTTATTTAAAAATAAAACTCATCAGGCAAGTTTTTTTATATATCTATAACATATACAAGCAAAAGAAGAATAAGCAAGGAAGGGAAAACAAGAAAAAATAATAAAAAAAGAAAAAAAGAAAGAAAAAGAAGAAAAAGGGAAAAAAAGCCCTCCTGAACACGCAAGACATTGAAGCTCGCAGTTTCTTTCAGCTGCTGCTATTGGCAAGCTGTTGAGGCGGTTCGTTTTTGCCTAGACGTTTCAAGTCGTCTGCCAGATTTTCCATATCGGTTATCTCCGTTTTGAGGAGTTCGGCCTGGTGTTTGGTCGTCAACGGGCGTGACTGCTGTTGAAGAGCTCGTCGGACGCACACGTTTTGACGTCGATGGAACAGAAGAGACTGACTGTTGTGGGGTAGCGGTCGTTGAGCTCTGCTCCCTCCCTCGTCTTGTATCGGTCGTGTAACGGCTGCCGGCTGTCGGTCGTGACAGACTCGCCGGGTCGTCGTTCTTATCGCATCGTTTCTGTGCGACGACCGAATAATGGTGTTGTTGCCGATTATGATCGGTGGTAATTTTACATTCGACTGGCCGGTCATACGGCGCAGCTCTGATCTGTCGACGTTGCTGACCCGAGTTATTAAGGACTCTGTCGGCACGTCGATAGTCAGATCCGCGACGGTATCCCTGGTTGCGTCGAACCGGCTCGGTTCCATCTCGACGGGACCCACCAAATGCCTGTCCAGATGAGGTATCCGGAGCAAGAATATTTGGCGGGATACCGTTCGAGTAGAAAGCCTGCGAGTTCGGCACCCAAATACCAAAATTACCACTTGCGTCTTTATATAGACGAAAACTCCCAGCCGAAGTTGAACGCGTTAGTTCAGTGCCAGTCCAAAGGATTGGATCAGCTCCTGAACACTGTAACAACTGTGCGGCTTGGAGAGGTGCGGAAAGGTCACCGGTGCCAATGGTAAACACCTCAAGTGCCTTTGGGGCGCCTCGAGTGTCACCAATTGGACCAGGTGCCGATACTGTTTGTTGGTTCGATGATAGCATGGTTGAATGAAGGTAAGTGAATGTTGGAATTTCGAATGTTGTGAATAAACGAATGATATATCCAACGAAAGATAGTGACTATTTATAGTGTCTATCTCTCTTTCCTCTTCCGTACAAAATTCTCTATTTCTTGTTCTTGC